CATGGAACAAGTACATCTTTCCTCTGAACTATTACAGATACACCAGCACCATGGAACAAGTACATCTTTCCTCTGAACTATTACAGATACACCAGCACCATGGAACAAGTACATCTCTTCTCTGAACTATTACAGAAATACCAGACTCATGGAACAAGTATATCTCTTCTCTGAACTATTACAGACACAACCATGTAAAGTCGAGACACCTTAGTCTGCTATATAATCATTAGCCGGACCAAGTGATATGTCCACTTCCATCCCTATCTTGTTTTTTGGATATTCTGGTTCTACTTGTTTTGCCAGTAATGTAGATATCTTACTCTCCATGTAAAGTCGAGACACCTTAGTCTGCTATATAATCATTAACCGGACCAAGTGATATGTCCACTTCCATCCCTATCTTGTTTAGTTTCTTTTTTCAAGTTCAGTAGCCACTACTATCAACATTAAAACTGTATGTAAGTTATTAATGGAAAAGTACCCAGAAGAATGAAGCATGCTAACATGTTAATTCGGTAGTGCATACACGTACGTATATGATAGCCAATGATTGAAATAGCTACTATACTATAGTTGTTTAAATTAGTAATATAATTCAACAATTAATAACTACTCTGCATGTAGATAATACAGTACTTTGCCATAATAAAACTTACATATTTATGTCTAGCTCTCCATGCAGTATTACAACAGAATGATAATTTGTTGACTTGGATGTTTGTGTATTTTATATGTACAGCCTTACAGTTGTTTAAGCTATATTTCATGCAAAACTATTTCCAGATTTAATCTCAATCTATCTTTAAAAAAATTTCTGGGGGTCATGCCTCCAGACCCTCGTAGCATTTGTATGCTTTGAATGCTAATTGTACTTAGTACAATATGTGTTTCCTTTTGATGTCACAAATTAGAACCCCTTACGGGTCTGGCTGCTTGGAATACGACAGATGTAGTGGTCTAAACTGTCTATCTATATATATATATGTTGTTGTTGTTTGTTATTAAGCACAAAGCTACACAGAGGGCTATCTGTGCTCTGCCCACCACGAGTATCGAAACCCGGTTTCTAGCAGTATAAGTCCGAAGACATGCCGCTGGGGGGCATATATATATATAATCTATTTTCATGTACAACAATTGTTAACATTTGAATCAGATTGGTCAAGTGAACTGTAATTATTATCAGTGTTATTTATAAATCACAATTTGACGTAATAATTCATTACTTATTTTAACACTGATTATTTATCTTCAAAAGTCTCCAGATTTCCTCTCCCTGTATCTTTTATTAAAGGTGATGCATCATAACTTATTATTCCTTTTTATCATTAAGATTTGCTTAAGAGTGGAAAAGCTGGTAGGTTCAATAACTAAAATCGCTCAGCTCAGTTTCTACATTCATTTTCCGGCTTCGGTTCGGTTTTCTAACTAATATCGGTCAGCCTGAGAAAGGATTCAAGCAAAGGGTTGAAAACCTGCTCTGTATATACCGAAATAAGAGATAAAAACACAACTGGTTTATTGTTATTTTTATCATAGTTAAAATCTTAATTTCATGATTTCCTTCTATACTCTTGAGACTTGACCTGGTGGTTATGACATTCGATTCACAAGCAGCGGGTTAGTACAGAGTAGCCCAAGAGTTGGCGGTGAATGACGTTAACTAGCTGCCTTTCTTCTAGCATATCACTTTTACATTAGGAACGTCTAGCCCTCACATTTTATATAAAAACTTACATAATTTCCGTGGGACTCCAGGGCCTTTGGATCATGGAACAGTTACCATACGTATTTGAATCAATTATATGTACATTAATCCTTATACAAGGTAATAAAAACAGAAGAAACCTAAGTAAACCAAATACTGTGTGCTTGGTTGTTTTTTCCACAGAGGGGGTTCGAACCCCTGATTTTCCCACCGGGAGACAAATCAAATACTTTCATTGAATTCACAATTAATCTTTTGAAAAAGTTTCGGTTATCAGAAGTTTTCAGTTTAACCTTAAAACATTTTCTGTCTTTTGATAAGTTTAAAGATATAAAAATGGCTGTAAAAAATAAACAAAATATTTAATTTTCGTGCCCAGACTTTTGAGCCGTGGAGCGCTTTGACTTATATTTGATTTATTTTTTGTTAAGATAAAAACAGCTTTTAGCACTTTTTTCGTTAATAACATAACACTAAGTATTCTACTGCTTCATATATTAACAACAAAAATAGTCATTCAATGAAATATTTTAATCAAGAAAATATTCGCCACTATAGTGGCGGAGACATCAAAATTTAAAAGCTGGTAGTCAATTCAAACATCTGAAATATTTAATTTGACGTACAAGGTTCGAAGAAACGTGTGCTTCCAAACGCATCGTAGCTGGAGTGCTTGGTCACACATCTCTTGGATGTACGGATCGTTTTGTATGATGATCGTGTTTTCAAACCACCAATCACGACTCTCTGATAAATTCACGGGCTGAACTTCACTTCCGCAGTTTCTCAGCGGAACTAGAAATGTAAAGATGGATTCGATAGGCCTAATGGAGGGACGTTTAACATAAACGCAATTATCATTGTTGTAGAACCCTTTGGAATAAATAACGCCGTGAAAAGGTTTGTTGAATTCTACCGTAACGTTTATTTTGTCCGATCCACAGGAACCATGGATTTCCTTTAAAAGGGGTAATATACGTGAAGATGTTAAATGTTCAATGGAAGTCAGCGACACCTGTATGGAAAAAATGCATATATTATTGTTAATTTTAAATAAAATTTGGCATTTTTAATTTTTGGAACTCAGATTAGTAACCAGTTGACGTCTTCGAATGAAATATTCGAAAAAATAGTTACTTTATGAAATGAAAAATCATTTAACATTACATGATAATCAATATCGAAAAATTTAGTTTAAATAATTACCGTGTGAATTGTCCACCTACAGTTTTAAATAATTACTGTATGACTTGTCCACCTACAGTTTTAAACAATTACTGTATGACTTGTCCACCTACAGTTTAAATAATTACCGTGTGACTTGTCCACCTACAGTTTTAAATAATTACTGGGTGACTTGTCCACCTACAATTTTAAATAATTACTGAGTGACTTCTCCACCTACAGTTCTAAATATAATTACTGTGTGACTTGTCCACCTACAGTTTTAAACAATTACTGTATGACTTGTCCATCTACAGTTTTAAACAATATACTGTATGACTTGTCCACCTACAGTTTAAACACTTAGTGTGTGACTTGTCCATCTACGGTTTTAAACAATTACTGTGTGACTTTTTCACCTACAGTTTTAAACAATTACTGTGTGACTTGTCCATCTACAGTTTTAAACAATTACTGTGTGACTTGTCCACCTACAGTTTTAAACAATTACTGTGTGACTTGTTAATAATTAGTTTTATCTATAACAAGTAATGTAATTATAAATAATTAGTTTTATCTATAACAAGTAATGTAATTATAAATAATTAGTTTTATCTATAACAAGTAATGTAATTATAAATTAGTTTTATCTATAACAAGTAATGTAATTATAAATAATTAGTTTTATCTATAACAAGTAATGTAATTATAAATAATTAGTTTTATCTATAACAAGTAATGTAATTATAAATAATTAGTTTTATCTATAACAAGTAATGTAATTATAAATATTTAGTTTTATCTATAACAAGTAATGTAATTATAAATAATTAGTTTTATCTATAACAAGTAATGTAATTATAAACATTTAGTTTTATCTATAACAAGTAATGTAATTATAAATATTAGTTTTATCTATGACAAGTAATGTAATTATAAATATTTAGTTTTATCTACAACAAGTAATGTAATTATAAATATTTAGTTTTATCTTTAACAAGTAATGTAATTATAAATATTTAGTTTTATCTATAACAAGTAATGTAATTATAAATAATTAGTTTTTATCTATAACAAGTAATGTAATTATAAATAATTAGTTTTATCTATAACAAGTAATGTAATTATAAATAATAAGTTTTATCTATAACAAGTAATGTAATTATAAATATTTAGTTTTATCTATAACAAGTAATGTAATTATAAATATTTAGTTTTATCTATAACAAGCAATGTAATTATAAATATGTAGTGATTATTCCATGCCTAGAGATATTATGTAGTGATTATTCTATGACCAGCGATATTATGTAGTGATTATTCCATGCCTATTGAAATACTGTAGTGATTATTCCATACCTAGTGATATTATCTTGTGATTATTCTATGCCTATTGAAATACTGTAGTGATTATTCCATACCTAGTGATATTATCTTGTGATTATTCTATGCCTAGTGATATTGTGTAGTGATTATTCCATGCCTATTGAAATACTGTAGTGATTATTCCATACTTAGTGATATTATGTAGTGGTTATTCCATACTTAGTGATATTATGTAGTGATTATTCTATGCCTAGTGATATTATATAGTGATTATTCTATGACCAGCGATATTATGTAGTGATTATTCCATGCCTAGAGATATTATGTAGTGATGATTCCATGCCTAGTGATATTATGTAGTGATGATTCCATGCCTAGTGAAATACTGTAGTGATTATTCCATACTTAGTGATATTATATAGTGATCATTCCATGCCTAGTGAAATACTGTAGTGATGATTCCATGCCTAGTGATATTATGTAGTGATGATTCCATGACTTTTATCAAGTCTCCTAGCAGAGTCGTAGCTGGACACTGGCACACGAGGCACGTGCTTCGATTCTACTTGACAGTGCCCTGAATCCCTAGTTCGTGTCTTCATAAATGAGAACAAAAACCATGATCGATATCACATGAAACGCCGAAAATTTCTGCACCTACGGGCCCGAGCCCTGAATATTTTAAGAACCTAGCGACGTTCCTGTCTCTTAGAAAGAAAAAAAACTATATTTAAATCAAGAGATAAACTAACGTTAAAAACAACGTGATTATTACTAAATCAGAGACCCACAGAACTAAGAAATCTCATGAAACACTCCTTCAAATAAAATTATCCAATAAACATGAAGATATCTGTGTCATAGAGGCAAGACACCCGGCAACGACCTATCACATACTAAATACCTGGCAGTCGAAATATTCGAATATTGACGAACTTGGATCACCTCCCACTTGACGTAGAGAGTGAGTAACACGAGACTGATTTATCTTCATGCTTGATGAAACGATCTCAATAAAACTTTTGCACAGGAAAAATAACTATCAGCTGTCGTTCTTGTTTGGTGTAGTTCGCGTGTGTGTTTGCTACGAACTACTGGGAACGATTCTCGAAATACTAGCTACCTGGCAGTCCATAACCTCACGATCATGAATATTGATAAGCTTCCAATATGACAATTTACATTATTTTTATATATATTATTGTATATATATATAATTTGTTATTGTTGTTGTTGTTTTAGTGGCTACTCAAAATTTTGGATTATTGAGTATATATCATTTGAAAGATCCTTTCCGAGTGTGTAGCCACTGCGAATCTTTATTTACAGTTCACGTCACATCATAGCTATAATAATTTTTAAAAAAGCCGACATCGGTTCAATTCGTCGAACAGATATATCTTTATATTAACTAGTTTTCTCATAACGAATTATATTGGCCTATTTAGGATAAAATAATCATTTTAGTCAATCGTAATAAAGTTTTTCATGAACACAAGCTTTACAACCAAGTACTAATTTCACAAGCTGCAAGAGCATTTGAAATCTGTCTTATACATAAATATTTTTCAGTTTTTTTATCGGTTCATTTCTAAGCGGTTTTACCGACGGAAATTCCACACGTAACAATCATATACAGAGCCCTGTAATCAAGGTGCCGATATGTATCTTGCTATTAAAGTGACATCATGCAATTAACTGAATGAAATATTACCTTTCCTTATAAGCTGAAACCAGGTTCTCTATATATGTTTTGTTATCCATGTTCGAGAAACTATTTAGAGAGCCTAAGCAAAAATTAGAGCGTAGGCCTAACAACAGTTACTCAATAGAGAGGAAAATAGTTCACACAACGGACACTTGGTTAATATTGTCATTGCAATTAAATAATAGGATAAAAATTCATCAAATTGTATATATATTTTTTACTTCGCGAAAATGATATTTGATCAGATCGTATTTATTTAGAACAAAAGCGCAAAATTTATGATATATGTATATATTGTTGTCAAAATAGATCATTTTAATGTGAAAAATTACGTTTATATTCTAAATTGTACAATCTGACGAAGAGCGCTAGCTCGAAACATCATCTTTTCGAAATAAAAAATATAAACCTATTGATTAATTTCTATATCTCTGTTGCCTGTACGGTTAACTATATTAACTTTTAATGATATTGTCTCTGAAACAACATATAACTGTTCTTAAAAGTGTATCGATATAGATCTTCCCACTTAGATCATAAGTTGTTTTACACGAATACGCAAAGTTCCCGATATAGGTTCGACTCGCCTCAACACTGATAGTATTTTTTTGATGGACTGTGTTTTAAAAATATAATTATAACTTTGTTTTAAATGGTGTTCTGCAAGTTAACCAGGCAATATTGTTTAATTATTAGCATGAAAGGCCCCTTATCAACAAATATTTTATCATAATATGTGGCTTTAGGTAATTTTGAAGTGCATTGCACGATATTACTCTTAAATTTCTATAAATATTGAAAACTGAATAACTTTTCTGGAAACGAATCCATGAGCTACTGGTCACCACATGTGTGCAAAGCGACATGTTAGGCTTGCGAATTGAAGTTAAATCTGGTAAAGGGTATCATTGTCACAGTTAAGACACTGGTTCCTCAAATACCACTCTTACTAAGGTTCAATTCACACCTTTACACAGTGTAATTTCTATTTGTTTATCTTTAACTTAGTAGGTATAACGTTTCGTGTACCCACATATTGGTAGGTATAACGTTTCAAGTACCCACATATTGGTAGGTATAACGTTTCGTGTACCCACATAGGGGTAGGTATAACGTTTCTTTTCTTCACTGAAATTACAAAGGAGAAGAAATGGACAATTAATCTGCAGGCTAGTCCGTTGAAATAATTATCAGTAATTAATTGTGACGATATAGTCAAATGTTATTCAAGTATTTTAAGTTATTAGTAAGGAGTACTAATCATTACGTTGACTTCGTTCTAGCTGCCTTTTTCCTTTGTTGTTCTTTATAGATAATATCTGCTCTGTCCGCGGTTGATTGTTTGCTGTAACGCGGAGCTTCGTGTAAAAATGTAGACGAAAGAGATGTCCTTCATTGATAGGACAGATTTTATCCAGAGATTAGAGCCTCGTCTATTAAATGAAAACGATCATCATGTGGATAGCGCTAGTCGCTAAGTGTAAATTGGTTATTTTCCTTTAAGTAGTCAACGACCCCTAAAGCTACATTTATACTTTAGCGAAATCATATAAACGTGAGCGTATGAAGAATTACTGGAAGATCTTCATCGCAAAGTACTTTTCAGTTAAGAGATACACTAGAAAACTTCCATAAGCAAGATCAACAAGGGATGTGTAAACGAGCATAACCACACTAGAAAACTTCCATAAGCAAGATAACGAGGGATGTGTAAACGAGTATAACCACACTAGAAAACTTCCATAAGCAAGATCAACGAGGGATGTGTAAACGAGCATAACCACACTAGAAAACTTCCATAAGCAAGATCAACGAGGGATGTGTAAAC